GCTTTCTGAAGTGTCTGGTTAACTCATCGCTTCTTGCAAAACGCCACTCACACCCTTCCCATGAGCATCTGTAAGGCTTTTCTCCTGGGAAGAGAGCACACGACAGGCACACCGTGATTTCACTGAGTAGGAGGAGGTACGCAGCAATAGGACACACACAAGCCGCCGCACCGAAGTCAACTCATTCGCCAGCTCCGGGGCCGGCCTCGGTTAAGGACGGAGCCCGTACTGGAGGTGAAACGGCGGAGCCCCCTCCTGAGCCAGCCGGGGGGCCGCCAAGTGCTGCAGCCGGGACCTGGGCATGGCAGGGCCCACGGGACCGTCATCAGCATTACCCAGTAAGAATGACAAATGCTCAGCCTGGCGAAATACTTCTGAGGTGACGTGTCAGCCCACTGGACCCACAGCCCTGGCGGGGGCAGGGTTTTATTGCTCTCTCCATGGAAACGCTTTCTCTCAAGCACTTATTTTGTTCCTTACTCACTTCCCTGTGGAATGAGGCTTTGTACTTTCCTCCGGGAAACGACATTTCTCCAAAACTGAGGTCATGAGTTTCTGGGAAACCCCATCCTGAGGGCCTTCAAAGCACTTTCTAAATGACAATCAAGCGACCAAATCTACCTCTTCCATCAGTCAGACAATAAATATGAATTCACTACAAGTGCTACCTGAGGAAATTCAAGATGTTGTTCCAGCCAGTGCCTGAGTGGGCTGTCGGGACATACGGGGGTAGGGCGGGGGCGGACACCTGGGTCCTGACCCCGGCTCTGCCGGGGACCCCGACTTGAGGGCTCAGAGGTCCCCTCTCGTCACCCTCCCCGGCCAGGTCAGAGCTTACGTGACTCCACATGCAAGATCCCTCCCCTCTCCGGAACTTGGGTGACTCTTCACCCGGCTACCCCAGACTGTCACAGTAATTATTCAGATGGGACTTTCATCTGGGTTGTGGGCTTTCATTACAAAGCTGTTTTGTTTGTTTGTTTGTTTAAACTGGTATCAGAAAACAAAGGCCACGTGATACACAGAGAACTTCTCAGCAAGTACCCGGGGGTCAGTACTGCTTCCGGTGGAGCGCGTGGGTCAGGCTCCCACATCTCATGGCCCGGGGGAGCCCGCATGCTCCACACCCCCCAGCCGCCCCTTCCCCCCCAACGCTTGAGCTTCATTTCAGAAAATCGGAGGTAACTCCACATGACAGGGGGCCCCCCCCAGCGATCACGGGGAAGGTTGGAGTGAGTGAGGGATGGGGTGTAGGCGGAGAATGAGATTTACCTCATTTGTTTAATCTGAAAGTCTCACCCGTTCATCGGGCACACACGTCCAGTCCTTGAGCTCCCACTCTGTCCTCCCCAGAGACCCAACTCTTTTGGGGAAGCATGAGGTGAGGATGTGTCTGCTCTGCCAGCCTCCTGCGGAGCCCCGGCCCCCTCCCAGGGCTGGTGCATCAGTGGCGCCCACCAGCAGCCCACCTCCCGCGTCGCGCAGGAGGGACTGACCTGTGTGAGTGCGCTGATGTGCTTTCAAGTGGGAGCTTTTGGTGTAAACTTTCCTGCAGCCGTTAAAGTGGCAGCGGTGCACCCGCCTCCGGCCATCCGGGGAGGCGTCCCCACTGCCCTTGTCGCCCGGCTTTCCCGCAGTCCCACTGCGCAGCTTCCCGGGGGGGTGCAGCTCGCCTGGCACGCAGCCCCACAGGTGAGAAGGCTCCCTGCTCAGTTCTGGAGAAGACGGGGGCGTGGAGGTGACGGAGGAGCTCAGGGTCCCCGAGTTGACTAAGACTTCGCCGATGGGGTCGGAGGTAAACTTGGTGGTGGGAGAAAGTTCCTCAGAGCTGTCGGAGGCCTCGCTGCTCACGTCGGAGTTCAGGCTGTTGGTCTCCAGGTTGTAAGCAAAGCCGGGGCTGTTCAGAGCATCCTCGGGGGGACTGGAGGAAAGCTTCAGGTCCGGGTCCTCCTTTTTCTCCCGAGCCAGGATGATTTTGGTCCACAGATCTTCCTGGCTGTCAAACTTGATTTCGGAGGCTGACACATAGCAGGGTTCGCTCTGGAGGTAACGTTCCAACTCCAGGCAGGTCTGTGCGAAAGGAACCACAAGAAGGCATGTGATCGTGATGACGACTGACAATGGAACTGAAAGCACGTTTCCAAAAACATGCAGGAATCAAGGGCAAACAGACTGTGGCCATGGGGCTGTAAGAATCGCGTCTCTAGGAACGGATATATGCAATCAGGAGAAGGACCAGTGGCCACAAGGACTCCAGGCCTTCCCAGGTTGGACCAGTGGCCACAAGGACTGATGGTCTCACCAGGCCACCTTTGTCATAGTTACCAGTGTTGACGTGACTACTGAGTTTCTGTAAACCACACAAAGAAAACCAGCCTCAGACACATGCCCCCCGACAGGTTTAACCAGATCATCTGACGGTCTCGAGAACCATGTGCTTTAAGGAATGCCCCGGACACCCTCCCTTCTCACGCACAAGACAGAAAGGCTGCACTGCACGCGAGGCAGTGTGTTCTGACATTGCATGTGTCCTTCTTTAGCGACACAGCTGAGAGCACAGGGCCACACTCAGCCAGCACACGCCGCTAGCGGACGGTCTGTGTTCAGGGACATCAATGGAGCTGTTGGGAGAAACCACCCTGTTTCCTGTAGTGCCCGACCTAGGAGGCTTTCAAAGAACGCCATTCCCAAGTGCGGGGCCATGCTCGCACACAACTTTAATGACTTCCACAGTGGTCAGAGAAAAACAAGAGCTTCAACAACAGGAGTGGAGAAATAATTCCAGAATGGCCATCTGCTATTGTAAACGATGCAGGAGGGGAAATTCCTCCCCAGCCCTGCTGGGAGTCCCACAATGGACAAGAACTTTATCTACTGGCCAAGAGTACAACTGTATGAGTCATCACTCTGTTTCTTTCACGCAATGCCAAAGGAGACTTCCTTTTGAAATTCTGACCGGCGGCCAAAAAAGGACCCGGTTCAAATGTACATGCAGTGTGTCATGGACAGTGCCCCTCCCCAGCCCCACAACCAACCTTTCAAGAAGCTACAACTGCCGAGAGACCAGCATCCCCTCTCCCCACCATCTCAAACTTTCTAGCCACTGGAAAAGAAAAACGGTAGGAAACATTTTAGGATTAAATTATGTCTGCCCTTATCTTTACTAGGATCAAGTGTCTGCATGTCCATATAAGGCTGTCTATACAACTGCAATTCTACAGAATTAAATTTCTACAGCAAACTCTGCTCTTTTTAGCAAATCATTTTCAGGACTAGCAAAGCCTACCCAAAGGGCTCATGCTTGCTTGCTTACTTAGCAAATGTGCCTGCTATAATATAGCACATACCCTCCCCCTCCCCAGACTCGTCACATAGCCAGCATGAGCAAGCAAAGGGGAAAAAAACAATCATTGTTTTCTCTTTACCCCTAAAATTAGACGTCTGAGTTATAGTGCATACCACAGTGTTCTGAGAAAACAGTATTCTGAGGAGAGAAGGCAAGGTGTTTTATTGATGCGCCAAAGAAAAAGGAAAGCACATTTACTGAGATCTTGTTAAACTTTAATAATCTGGCTAATTTGAAATCTCCATTATGCTGATAAGCACTGGGGACCAAAACGTAGCTCTCCGAGAGTTTAAAAGCCTCTGAAGAGGACCGGGAGCTCAGCCTGGCTTGGGGCCCAAATCCCAAATGCCCGTAGGAAACTACTTAGATCAATTTCAATCACGTCCTAGGGAGCAGCTTCTTTAGGAGGAAAAGCGGGGGGGAGGGGAGAGGAAGGCAGGATAGGGCTGGGAACAATTAAGCAGGCATGTGAAGGTTGCAACACTTTGCATTTCATCTCTTTTAAAAGCTTTCTAGGCTTTGAAACACAGAATATATTTGATCTGCTAATTCACTTTGTGACAAAAAGCAAACAGCCTAGCAGGGCAGAGAGACAGCCCCCACCCCTCCTCCTATCTTTTTAAAGACAATGAGACAAGTGTCAGAATCTCTCTCCCTTCAGGCAATCCTAACGAATTGGGGGAGGGGGGGTTAACTTTCTTAAATGTCCAATGTCAAAAATTCCAGTTCTACTAAAAAAATGCCGGAAACCGAGACTCTTCTTCTCAAATTCAGACTTGAAGCAATTTGGACGGGCTCATTGTCATATGACTGATAAGTCACTGGTTGTGCAAACATTGTTGGCTTTTTTTTTTTTTTTTTTTCTGGTCAACAAAAAAAGCAGGTAAGAAAAACAAGGCAGATCGAAACAAATCTTAAGGATTCCAAAGGGGAAAAAGAAACTGGAAATGACCTAGTAGAGAAAAAAGGAGCTGGTGGATGCTTCACGGGTGACATTTTTAATTAAAAACAAAAACAAAAACAAAAACAAAAAACCCAACTCTGTACAAACACCAAAAAAGCAAAAACAAAAACAAATTCCCCATTAAAAACAAAACAAAACCCAACAACCCTTGGCAGTCCAGGCAAGTTCATATGACAAGATCCAGCTGTGGAGTCTGGAGCTGGTACAAGGCACCAAACTTCTGCCAAGGGCTCGGGCCGGGATCAGGCCGCGGAGCTGGGACTGCCCTCGAGAGGATGCAGTCCAGAAGCCCCAGAAACGGGCGAAAACGCTCGGAGAGACCAAGCGCTGCGGCGCCCCGCTCATATGACAACTCCACTTCACGCCGTCAAAGGCCCCTTTAAAGTGCCTTCCGCACGCAAGCAGCACAAAGTACGTTTTAAGACTAATTATTTTAATTTTTTAAAAATTTACCCGAACCATTAAAAAAAAAAAGAAGAAGAAGAAGAAGAAAAAGAAATGCACCTCCAACCACACACCATCCTGTCCGTGCGTGCATGCACTCCCTCCTCGGTGCACCGGGCACCTGGCACACGAAAATTCCTATTTACCTGTTGCCAGTATTCCTCCAGGGAGGGCAGCGCCGAGAAGTAACCAGTCTCGTGCACAATCTGGAGTTCCTGGAAGATGCTGCACATTGGGAGTACATCCATGTCGGGTTGGAAAAGACAGTCACTGCTGTTGTGAAAACAGGGAGGTGTGCGGTCTGGAGTCGGGAGCGCAGCAGTCGTGCCTGCAGCGCCGGGGAAAGTTTCATGCAAACTCAGTGCACAGCAATTAGGCGCCGCGGGTTCGGATCCTACCGGAGCCCAGAGACGCGCTCGCGAGCCCACACAATATTTGCAAACACCGGACTGACTGCAAACGTAACCCCTGCAAAACTTCCCTATTCAAAGCTCCGCTGCCAGCCTCCCCCTCCTCCCCGCTGGCTCCCCCCACTCCCTCCCCCCACGTGACTCGCCCGCGCCCGCCCCGCGCACCGCCCAATCACGCTGCGCCCGGCCCGGGGGCTGCGCGCCGGTGATGTCAGCTCCGGCCAATGGCAGGCGGTGACTCACAGCGGCCCCGCCTGGCGTGACCGAGCCTCTCCATCACAGCCCTCGCCATTGGCTCAATTCGAACTTCAGGCGGCTCTGATTGGAAGGCGTCCTCGCAGGCTATTTTTAGCAGGGTATATAAGACGCGGGCCGCCGCGCGCCGGAGGAGTCGGCGCTGGGAGGTGCAGGCCGAGCGGCTCAGTGAGCCTGCGGCCGGCCGAGGGAGCCGCTCCTCCCGTCCCCGGTCCGCGTCCCATCCCCCGGTCCCCGTGCCCCGGTCCCCGTGCCCCGGTCCCCGGGTCGGGCCTCGGCCCACCGCTCAGGCCGGCAGTCCCGTCCCCGCCCCCCCGGCCCCCCCCGCGGTGCTCGGCCCTCAGGCCCCGTCCCGGTCGTTAGACCGGCCGTTCCCGTCCCGTCTCCCGAGCCGGTCACTTCGGCCCCGTCCCCTGCCCCCCGGCAGAGGGGCTCAGTGCGCCGCGGCCGGGCCGAGGGGAGCCGGGCGGGCCCCCTCGTCCCTGTCCCCTTCTGTCCGCCCTCGGGGCCGCGCTGCTCCCCTCGTTCTTCCTCTGCTCCGTCCCTTCTGTCCCTCCCCCTCCGAACTCGGGGACTCCCTGCGCCCCGGCCCGCTCTGTTGCCCTCCGATCGCCTCCACCTGCTCTGACCGTCTCTGTCCCCTGTCAGCCCTCTGCTCCCCATCCTCTTCTGCCCACCCACCTTCCTCTGTCCCCCCAACCCTGCCCGCCTCCATCCAGCCTCTGCGCTACTCCTCCTCTGCCCCCCATACTCTCCTGTCGCCCTCCATCTTCCTCTGTCCCCCAGTCCCCCTCTGTCCGTCCGCCTCTGATTCCGGAGCCACCCGCCCCCCTCTGTACCCTGTGTCCCCCTTTGTCGTCCTCCACCCCCCCACTCTCCTCTGCCCCCCCATCCCCCTCAGACCTCAGGCCCACAGGGCTGGTGACCCCTGGAGCGGGAGGACAGAGCCAGTGTGTGGTGAGGGACCTGACAAGCTGGGAGTGAATCTGAGTCTCTCCTTCCCACTCCCTCAGGCACACACACCTGTGTGCCTCGGAAACCTGCCTGAACTGCAGGAAAAGGGTCAGAAAGGCCTGGGAGAGTGATGTTGGATCCGCTGGCTTTTGAGTGGGGTACTTTAGGTTGAAGTGCAGGTTTTAGAATTTTGATCTTCAAAAAAGAGATGCCTTATAACTTGTTCTCGGTGGGGTCCCAAGCCTAGCACAGCGTCCGTACCAGCATCCATACTGTACTTATTAAAAATGCAGTTTTCGGGGTCCAGCCCCCAAACCTACAGAATCTGAAGCTGGGTTGACGCCACCCGGGCCCGGACTGTCCCGGCCATTGTGTGTGAACAGCCCCCTCCCGGGTAAATCTGTTGCCCACTGCAGTTTTGCCAACCAGGGATCGAGAACTTAAAAGTGTCCATTTACTTGTTACCTACTGTACAACGGCCCTCATCCTAAGAAGACTGAGAGGCTACGTCTAATTGGGAGGAATCTGTTTATCTAGGGGAGCTGCAATCTCAAAGAACCCTCGGCAAGGTTAACAACTAAGCTTTTCCTCTGAATGTGCAAACCATTTAAATTAGGATGGTGCTGACATTCAACGTGTTTTTTTTCCCCATATGAATTATGTCCTAAAATATGCCATAATGTTCATTTTCAAGAAAAATGCCAAGACCACAAAGAATGTGCATTTTAAAATTCAAAATGGAAAACTGAATTATAACTAGTAGTTTCATTTTTATCTCAAGATAGAGTTTAATGAACATCCTTTCGAAGTTTTTAAAAATGTAGCACGGAAAAGGGTTTTGAGAGGATTTTGTGTGTTAGATTTTCACAGATTAGAGCAGACTAGAATATACCAGGATTATGACCCTGTAAGATTCTAGGCTGGGACCTTTGTTTGGGAATCCAAAGTCAGAAAATGTTACTGGCTCCTCGTACTTAACATAGTCTGTGAAGATGATCCACAATTCAAATCAATACAAATTATCATTGGCCTGTGTTTATGTCATTTTGCCCCAGAAACAAAGAGGATATCTAGCCTTCTGTAGGTGAGATATGTTCCTTGGGTCAGAGATGGTTTGGCCTTGAACCACCCACAGGCTGAGCTAACCTGGTGACCAGCAGCTGGTCATATTTGGGATATGGTTGCAAGAGTGTGGTTTTGCTGGGGATAGGATTTTCTCAGTAATTAGCAGCCATTGCCAAAGGAAGCAAGAATCCGGGGAATATACAAGTGACCAAAGCCAGCATCCCGGCATATGGAGGAAAGTCAGGGGAAGGGAGGGGAGTCCTCCCCAAGTCCACAGAAGGGAACGGCTCTGTGCAATGCATACGGGTGTCCCGGTTATGGTGCTCTACGTACCTTTTGGACAATTAACTATTCGTGGTTTTAATAATTTTCCTTATCTGCATTCCTACGCAATGTAGATTTGTCCCTGTCTCTTGCATGCACTGACAAATACTTAGAAGATTGTATAGTTTATTTTTAAAATAGTGAACCTAATTGGACATGATACAGATACACTCAAAATGGTAATTTTCAGGGAAAAAAAAATGGTATAAGAACAGGATACATAGACTGGTTTTCAAAGAGAAGAAGCTCTGTGGCCTCCCACTGCACCGGTGAGCCATCCAGCTCCTGTTATTCATATTCACGTCCCGTGACTGGCCAGGTATTTGGGACTCTCCTACGTTTACAAAATAGGCACAGCTCCCTGTGGCGGGGGAGGCGGGAAATATATAGGAATATATAGGAGGGGAGCTATCTTAAAACAGGCATTTCTGCTCCTGGTAGAGGCAGCTATTTGGTGGGGAATCAGTGTTAGCCTCCTATGAGAAAAGTCTGCGTGGGATCTGAGTTATACTAGTCACATCTGATTTCTAAAAAGATGAGCACAGAAGAATCAGAGAAGGCCAGAGTCATTCGGGTGGGGGGTGGGGGGAAGTGTGGCATGGTGTTTAGATGTGTGGCCTTGGTCACATCCTTTAAATAGGAGACGAAAATGTCTGTTAGAATCAGTTTGGTAGAATTGAAAGATGAGGCGTTAAAACCCCTGGTTTATGACAGATAGTCATTTCATAAATTGAAGGCAGTATTTCAATTATTCAACATACAGTCATCTCTTCAGTTTGCTGTAGATATTTGTTTTATAAACCCCCTCCTCCCCACACACACTTTTTAAAAAAATTGGTGAGTGAATGTAGACAGTACGATGAAATCACCTACGCAGATCGCATAGCCAATCAGAGGCAAAGTTGGGCCCACAGTGAGGTCCAGTAACCAGAAGAGCTTCTTTGGGGCACTTGGATGGCTCAGTCCGTTAAGCGTCCGACTCTTGGTTTCGGCTCCGGTTGTGATCTCAGGGTTGTGGGATTGAGCCCCACATCGGGCTCCATGCTCAGAGGGGAGTCTGCTTGAGATTTTTTTCCCCTCTCCCTCTGCCCTCCCCACTCTCTAAAATAAATAAAATCTTAAAAAAAAAAAAAAAAAAAAAGCGCCTCTCTGGCCCACCCAGCCCACACTGCAAATTCTCCCTCCCTCCCACCCCTTCTCGCTCTCCAAGCTGTGGAGAGAAAATCCTAAACTCTAGTTGGTGAGCATGACCCTTGTTCTTCTCCATCTCCCTCTGCTCATCTGTTCCTTCAGTGGTCACACCGCCCACCATCTTCAGAGGCTCAGGACCCTTCTCTGTGGCCACCCCGGGCTCTTCACATTCCGGGATGTTCGAGGAGTCTGACCCCATAGCAACCCCGTGCTGATTCCTCACCTCCCCCCACCCCCACCCACGCCCTCCTCCATTTTCCTCTCTGGTCACACTTGGGTCACACTCAGACATTTCATACCACTAAGTTCTCTCTACCACATTTAGAAAAACACAGTTTAAGATAAAGTTGGCTTTTTAAACCTAACTTTCAGCTTAAAGATAAATGGGATGATATATAGGCTTTTGGTACTTTTGATCCTTCCTATTCTTCTGGATAATTCAGGTAGGGCTCTTAAGAGGAGTCTAATGAAGGCCGATCCAAGGATCATTCCAACAACGGAGAAGATGCTCTGTTGGGCAAGAAGCTGCTTTTGTTTCATTTTGATTTTGGTGTTATTACCAAAATGCTGATTACTGTATGCCATTAAGGTATAGATTTGCTTCTTAAATAACTATTACTGCTGAGAAGAGCTGATAAGGAAAGTTCTCTATTGATAGTTTTTAATAGATTTCCAACTTACGTTATCAACATATGGAATATGCTCAGTGCTCTGGCCGTGAGGCCTCTGGGGCATCAAAGGGGGAGAATTTATACATATCTAAGAATTTATACACATCTTTGTCCTAGTGGCCCTCTTTTTAAAATATCGTAATGAACTCTGGGATATTTGATGACAGTGGGAAAATATGTTGCTATCAAAGTTTTATAGAAAGGAATGAAAAAAGGAGAAGAGAATCAGTCCACACTCGGTAAGTATGTTCCCTGTGTCAGGTACTGCGCTGAACCTTTTCCATGTGGTGCCCACAGGACCCCGTGAAGTAGGTGTTACAATCGACAGTTGAAAAAACAAATTTAAAGCTCAGAGAATGCGTGCCATCCACTCTGTGGCAGGGGAAGTGTTTTAATCCTGGTCTTCCTCATTTGCACAGACAGCCTACAGCTCACCTGTCCAGGTCTTGTCAAGCAAGAGCCTCACACGGGACTGGGTGGGAGGAGCCTGTGGCTGACGGAGCTCTAAGGTGTCCTAGGGACCCCTGACCAGCACCACCCCCTCCTCCTGAGCGCATGCTGAGGCGCTAGGCTACCCACCCTTTCTGTCACCTGACTTCAAGTTAATCAAAAGGGAGATTATCTTGGGTGGGCCTGACCTAAAGGAATGTCCTTTAAAAGGAGGTGAGCTCAAAGAGGCCATTCAAGACACAGACGCTCAGAAATTCGACGTGGAAGGGAACATCCCTGGTCTGATAAAGGGACCTGGGATGCCTGTCCTGCCCAGCAGTAGCTGCTGGGCTTCTCAGTGAGCTCTGGGCTCACAGTGAGAGCAGGGTGTGTTTTCAGTTCTGATCTAACTGCTCTCTCAAGCGGCCCCAGAGCTTGGTTTTCTCCATGGGGCTGCATCTTTCCCCTGCGCAGCCAGACTTTCTTGCACCTGTCAGAGGAGCGTTGGTAGGTGGGAGAGTCTGGCCCTCTCCTGGCAAGAGAATTCTGCTTCCTGGCCTGTAGGACCCGGCTCCTGCATCTGCCCCAGCTCTGAAAGGCTTTCGCTTCCTTTGAGGCAAGGGTCCGGGAGTATGCATGGGGTTTCATGCTTCCTTCCCACTTGGGGGTGCGGGGCACGTGGGGAGAGTGGAGGGGTGTCTTTGCTTTCCCGCCCTGTGCACCCATCTGTCTTGTGAGCACCTGGTGGGGGCCTGTGGAAAGAGTTTGCGGGTCAGCCTGTGTCTCAGGCTCCCGTTTTTATTCCAGACTGTCTGTCCTGCCAGCCCACACTTAGGCATTAGCAAATTATTACCGTATCACTCTTTTCTCCCATGGCGGCTGCCTCTTCCTACTTTGCCAAGGGTGAATCAGTGTGGGGCGGGACTTCTCCTCGGTGCGTCTTGACACCTTTGAGACACCTGAGGACACATATGGTGGGGGGCAGACTTTGGCCCAATCTCACATCTTATACAAAATCAATTTGAGACAGATTATAGAGTAAATGAAGGACTAACCTATAAAGCTTCCAGAAGAAAACATAGGAGAAAATCATCATGACATAAGGGTAGGCAAAGCCTTCTTGGACAGAATACAGAAAGCCATACCATAAGGAAAAAAATATGTTTTTCTGATTTACAGATTAGACTTCACCAAATTTAAAACTTCACCAAAAGATACCACTAAGAAAATTAATAGACAAGTCACAGACTGAGGGAAAATATTCTCAAAACATATATCTAGTGTTGAACAGGTATCCAAGGTACATACAAGTCAATAATAAATTTTTTTTGAAAAAGTAAAAAATAGAAATGAGCAGATACATAATGGCTAATAAGCACATAAAAACATGTTCAACATTATTTGTCATCAGAGAAATGTAAAATAAAACCCACTAGAATAGCTAAAGTTAAGAAGACCCAGGACACTAAGAGCTGGTGAAGATGTGTGGGGGGCGACCAGAACTTTCCTACACTATTGGTGGAGGTGTGAAATGCTGGCCATTTTTAATAAAGCCAAACATATGCCTACTCTATGACTCAGCTCCTTCATCTTCTAGGCATTTAGTTAAAAGCACTGAAAGAACATGTTCACAAATTTGTGCAAGATCATTCATGGCAGTTTAGCCATAATGGTCAAAAACTGGAAACTGCCCAGTTGTCTGTGAGCAGGAGAGGTGGTATTTCCTTATAGTTGGTACTACTCATCGCTATGTGCAGCAACATGAATGTATCTCAGAAAGAGTACGCTGAGTGAGAGAAGCCTTGCACATAGGAATACCTACTGAGAGAATACCTACATTAAGTTCTAGACAAGGTAAAACTGATGTTTGGTTGACTTTGGCAGTCAGGGGTGCTGACAGACACCTGGACAGTTTCCAGTTTTTGACCATGTGATGATGGTGATGGTGGTGATGATGGTGGTGATGGTGATGATGATGGTGATGGTGATGATGATGATGGTGATGGTGGTGATGATGGTGATGGTGATGATGATGGTGATGGTGGTGATGATGGTGGTGATGATGGTGATGATGGTGATGGTGGTGATGATGGTGATGATGGTGATGAATGTGATGATGGTGGTGATGGTGGTGATGATGGTGATGAATGTGATGATGGTGGTGATGATGGTGATGATGATGGTGATGATGGTGATGATGATGGTGATGGTGGTGATGATGGTGGTGATGATGGTGATTATGGTGATGGTGGTGATGATGGTGATGAATGTGATGATGGTGGTGATGGTGGTGATGATGATGGTGATGATGGTGATGAATGTGATGATGGTGGTGATGATGGTGATGATGGTGATGAATGTGATGATGGTGGTGATGGTGGTGATGATGGTGATGATGGTGGTGATGGTGGTGATGATGGTGATGGTGATGATGATGGTGGATGGGGATGAATGGTGGTGATTATTGACCTGTTCTATCTGGATATAGGTGTGTGGTTGCACAGGCGATTGCATTCGTTTGAACTGATCCAATGTTACATTTAAGCCTTGTGGATTTAACTTCCTGTAAATTTTGCTTCCCCCCACCAAAATAAAGAACTGTATACAAATATTGAACTCTGGCTAACTACGATGTGCAGGCTGCAGAGGGGAAGTATATTAAGGTGTGCAGTGTGCTTTGAAACAGAGAAAGAATGAGAGGCACGAGAGAGACAGAAAGGAGGAATGTGCTATACTGATTTAAAGCACATAATGAGTCGGGCACCTGGGTGGCTCAGTTGGTTAAGCGACTGCCTTCGGCTCAGGTCATGATCCTGGAGTCCCAGGATCGAGTCCCACATCGGGCTCCCTGCTCGGCAGGGAGTCTGCTTCTCCCTCTGACCCTCCCCCCTCTCATGTGCTCTCTCTCATTCTCTCTTTCTCAAATAAATAAATAAAATCTTAAAAAAAAAAGCACATAATGAGTCAGAATATGAAATTAATGTTTGTTTATCCTGTATTAGTTTCCCTCGGGTGCTGCAACAAATCACCACAGACACAACTGAAGTTTATTCTCTCACAATTCTGGAGGCCATGAGTCTGAACAAAGGTGTTACAGGGCCACGCTCCCTCTGGAAGCTCTGGGGGAGGACACTTCCTCGTCCCCTGTGTCGTCTGGTGGCCTCTGGCTTCCTTGGCTTGTGGCCGCATCACTGCCCTTTCCCCTTCCTGGTTACACAGCTGCCTCCTCTTCTGTCTCAAATCTCCATCCTTGTTTACTTGTAAGAACAGATATCCTTGGCTTTAGGGCCGAGTCACATAATTCAGGATGAGTCCCTTAATTTAATTACATCTGCCAAGGCCCATTTTCCAAATAAGATCATACTCCTAGATTCCAGGGATTTGATGAGGACATCTTTTGGAAGGTCATTTTTTGCACCCTGTGAAAAGAATGTAAATTCACTTGTATTAAATAATACTTATGGCACTAGAATAATGGGATATGACAAACGCCACCTAGTTTCCTACATTATCAACAGTAAACATTTTTGTACAATAGAGCATATGTTACTTAACATTTCAGAGATTTTTTAAGATAATATGATCACTTTTAGGGCTTGCTTATTTCATTCCTGTTCAAAACTAGTATCATCAGTTATCAGGGGCACAAGTCTTAACGTCCCCGTTAAGAACCTGATTGATGGAGTATTGATACAAACCAACAAGGGACAGAAACTCAGGTTGCTTTTCTTCAAGAATTTAATCACTTCAAATTGAGGGCTGTTGGTCCAGGGTCCAGAGCTGCTACTCTACTAAGGCAGAGCAGAACAGATTTTCCAGCCTGTTTCAGAGATACACAAAGATTTATCTGGGCCTGTGAAAATGGCTAGGTCTTGGTCCCTTCGTCAGATGGGTAAGAGATTAGGGAGAAGGCCCCTTTCTTCCCTCATTCCAGTATCAAGTCAGCAGCCCCAAGGAGGTGCCAGGAGGCACACCCTGCCGGGGGAAGGAGAGGAGACATTGATTTTGGCTGCTTCCTGGGGATGGTCTTGAAGGGTGGTGACAGAGAGCGCCAGGAGGGAGGGCCTGATGAGCAGCCCCCGAGGTAATGCGACCAGGAGCCAGGATGGCACTCTGGCTTGTAGAGAAGAGGATCTGGGGAGGTGAGGCTGGAGGGCACGGGCAGAATGTTTCCTGCCTCTCATTGCCAAGGAAATCGTGGCAGGAGTGTGGAGCATGATTTGGAAGAACAAGTGGATGACAGGCAAGAGGTGAGAAAGGTCTCGGTAGTGACTCTAAGCACTAAGCAGCTCTCCTCAGAGGCTGAATCAGCACAGCTGGACCCCAGAGCACTGCTAAGTGTTCTGCATGGATTATCCGCTTCAGTCTTCACGACCACCCCACCACCGCCACGGTAAATCGAAAGGAAACAGAGACACAAGAGATTCTACACCTTGTTTGAAGTCATCCAGCTGGGAGTAAGGAAACACAATCTTTCCTATGCACTTGGCAGTACGACCCTCTGAGATCAATGTTTTTGTTATCTCGTTTCATAGATCTGGAAGCTAAGGTGAGGAGAGGCAGGTCACTTGCCTGAGGTAACCTGGCTGAGAGCAGCAGATCCAAGTGGAAACAGGGGAGTGAGTAGACTGCAGGAATATTCCTGAGCTCGCAGCTCAAGCTCTGCGGCCTTGGGTCAAAGGAACAGCGTTGGGGTTGGAGCTGGGGCAGGCGGAGCCCAGCCCGAAGGCACGACCACCACCCTGTGTGCCTGTAGCCGTGGAAACCCAGAGAAAAGACTGCAGGTTTGCTTCTGAGGAACATCACCAGGATTTCGTAGCAGGGAGGTGAGGTTCGGGGTGGTGAGCTATGGGGTCTACACATCAGCCTTTAGGGCTTGGTTGCTCCCTTGGACCTGGCTGCCACAGCTCTGCATGGTCACATCCCGTGTCACTGTCTCCTCCAAGTTCCTCCTGATTTGGGCAGCCGGGTGTGTCCCACCTTGCAATACCTGAGAGCCCTCTGTAACTGTCCCCTGCATGTTCTTGGAGAGTCCGCCCAAATGCACCCCTGAGAAGACCTCCCCAGCACCCCATCAATATGCTCAGCACCTTGTCATGCCCTCTGTCCCCTCTGCACTCATGGCCTTGGGCGGTGATTGTGGCTCGCTGTGCTGTCATTCTCCCCAAGGTCTGTGAGCTCCCCACGAGGGGCACTGACTTCCACGTCCACATCTCACTGTCATGGCGGACAGGGTTTATGGCTCGGCTCAGAAATGCAACTCCGTTCACTCTCTGTGAGATGGTGCCTTGGAGGCAAGTTTGCCGAGTTTACCTGTCGAGAGGTGTACTGTTGTCTTGCGCCCCAGCCAGTCATGAATGTTGCTTCACCCTAGGAGACCGCCAGCTTCCAAGGAGTAATAATGAGTACTGCTGTCCTTCTTCACTCTGCAGATGTCAGTAGGCACTCATCTTAAGAGAATTTTCTAGAGGCAGTGATGTTGCCTACTCACTCTATGTATGAGGCAGCCTCTAAAAATTGAGATTCAGAGCTAGAGTTTACAAGAGGACACAAAGAAAAGGGAAGATCGCCAGAAATTAATGATTGACGCATTTGGTCTAAATCCAAAGCCTGTCATTGAGCCTTAAATTGTTAAGAAAAAAAAAAAAAGAGAGAGAGAGAGAGAACATAAAAAACTTACAGTTGAGTACAAGGATTGCAGACTGGCGATTACAAGTAAGATTAAAGTCTGCTGTCGTAAATTAAATAAGGTAGGATTATGTTTGCAGGTGAACACCTTCAATCTTATTTTCACCTACTGTGTTCTAAATAAAAAGGAACTGCCAACAGTGCCTGCTAAAAACTTAGCAGTCACTAAAAATTTCCCCAGGAAATTAAATTTCATAAGCAGGTAATGATATAGATGGTCTTCAGGTATTGAGCCCCTGCAAATACATAGTACGCAAATAAGCAAATAACCCTGCTCATACTTGCAGGATGGCTACCCCGTCTTTCCGTGCCACTCATGGCCTTAGCTGTTGGCTTATGCCTTTGTCTCCTTCCTCTAACAGGCTGAACAAAGAGGGTACTCATTCTTTTCTCATAACTAGCTCTTAGCATAAGGCCTGATCTAGCAGCCATTCAGTGAATACTCTAAGCGCCTGTCCGTGTCTGTATGGATAAGGTTAATGATGTCACTTCAAAGTATTTTCTAATTTTAGTAAATGAAGATAAAATTGGTTCTCTAATTTTACTTCACTCTTCTCCCCTCTTTTTGCCCATCCAGAAATTCAAACAAAGGATGGCTCCTTTTATCCTAAAGAAGTCATAGTTGGTTTTATGTCCTAAATTGCTTTTCACTTAGGAGCTACCTATGTGAGTTGCAGTCCTGAATAAATGCAGATCCACGGGATAAATTACAGGCTGACTCAGAAATATTTTTAAAAATGGTATTTTATTGTTTGCTGGAGAAATTGAAGGAAGAAAAAATAAAATGAAGTCCTGGACAGGGTGACCCTCTAGGTGACAAACGGCCAGTCTTGCTGCACCTGGCTGTTCCTGGGCTGTGTCGCTCTTGGTGGATTCCCTTTTCTCTTCTTTTCTGTGTTTATTCCTTAGTTTTTCTGGAGTACATCCTCCAGTAACTTCTTGGTTCTTCTCACATGGCTGGGGATACCTGTGTATACCTGTGGTCTTCTAGCATTTTCCATTTCTAGGGATGTTTCCAGGGACATCTCTTCTGGTAGCAGTTCTTTCCAGGACTCTAAGGGACAAATCATTTAGGATAAGTGGGCGGGGAGCTCCCACAGGCTGTGTGTTTACCCCATGACGGACATTGTCTGAAATATTTGCTCTAGTGTCTTTGGGAAGGGAGAGGTCTGATGTCTTTCTGGAATGTAAGTGCCTGTGCTCTAAGGGGATGGGTGGCACAGGGGAACCTAGATTGAGGTTTTCACTGGTGCACTACCCCATAGATAGGACTTCAGTTGTTTCTCCTGTCCTCCACCCACTTCTCACCCCCACACCCATCTGTGTGTCACTCTGGTTCAGACACCTATGTGGTTCAGTTGGGTGCGCTGACACTCGCCTTGTCTGAAACCCACTTCCAGCGTATTCTAGGCTGTAGACGTCTCCCCCTGATACTTTGTTCCACTCACTGTTGCCGAATTGTATTCTAGGCCCGTCTTGAGATCTCCTCTATATCTCCCTATTCGATCCCTGTTACCTATTTGTTGTTGTAATGGTGCATTTTTATTTCAAAGGTGTCTAGAGAGAGAATGGGGTCAAAATTATGGGTCTGGACTGTTGGCTTAAACCAAACGGAGTGAATTTCATTTAAAAAATAAGTTTAACCACCCACAATAATAATCATGGTTATGTTTTTTCTTACTCTGCCAATGATAGACATCTGTCTTCTTTCCGTTTTCATGTACTGGGTTTTATAAAACTTGATAAGCCCAAGATGTAAGCGGGGGGCGGGGGGAGGGCGGGGAGAGAGAAAGTGAGCACATGAGCAGGGGGAGGAGAGAGAAAAACACAAAGAAAGGATGAAAAGAAACGTGGCACCTTTAACCATGCTTGCTTGGTATTTCAGAAAGAACCCAAAACGAACTTCCCATAACAAGAGGAACCACATTGAGAACTTGGCAAATCCATATGTGGGCCAAATTTTTGTGACACTTTTCTCTGAAAAGAGAAGTCTCCCTAATAAAGGTGATCTCCAACTTAGTTCAGTGCAGAAGGTCGTCTAGCCTTCCTTCTGTGCAACTGTCTCATTTCCATGAAATGTTCACATTTTCAGATGAGTCACAAATCTTTATCATCTATGGTAACCCCTTTCTATTGTATGGATGCAAAAACATCCCAAGCACTCAGAGAAAATTCTATTTGGTTTCTGAGTGTTTGCTCTTTTTTGGGCATCTTTCTATGCCTTCGGGATACAGCAGTGTCCAAAATTACCTCCCCACCCAGCTCATGTTCTGTTGGAGGGACAGCAGGTAAACAAGTAATAACTCAGGTGATGACAGATGCCATGAAGGCGGTGGGGTGGGAAGTGATGAGCAGGGGGAGTTAGTGAATGCTGTCTTAGGATGGTTCTTGGATGAGGTGCATTTGTGCCAAGAGAGGGGTAAGGTGGGGGGATGAAAGGAAGGCATAGCGGTATCTGGCAGGAAGTGCATGCAGAAGGAATAATCAAGTGACAATCATTCCTCTTCCGCCATGATTTTAAAAGGTAGGGCGCCTGGGTGGCTCAGTTGGTTAAGCGACTGCCTTCGGCTCAGGTCATGATCCTGGAGTCCTGGAGTCGAGTCCCGCATCGGGCTCCCTGCTCAGCGGGGGGTCTGCTTCTCCCTCTGCCCTCTTCCCTCTCGTGCTCTCTGTCTCTCATTGTCTCTCTCTCAAATAAATAAATAAAATCTTTAAAAAAATAAAAGGTATTTAAGGATTTCCTATCGCTGTTGGTACTTCTTTATGTATTAATTGCCTTTTTTGTTTGTTTGTTTGTTAGACAATGTTTGTTCTTAGGCAATCTCAGGTATAAACTTCTAGAGGTCATGACAACCTACACGAAACTTTTTGGAGGAAATCAGTACTTTAAAACTTATTGTAAGTATGTGCATGGAAAGTCTTCCGTTTGAATATGTTGCAAGACTCTTTGAATCTAATGTAGGAAACCAGGTCAACCACCGCCCAGGGATGATGAGACCATTTCAAAAGCCCCTCAGCTGTCCAGCCAGTATGACATCTCTGTTTTATGGTTTTTTGATCTGATAAGGAGCCTAGAACACTGTGAGTCACATGCGGGGGTTGGTTCTAGAGGAACCAGAATCCCAAGCACTTCAGCCTCCTACCTGGAATGTTCTCCAAGATTTATTTCGTGTGGCACCCAAACTGCCAAGAGTGGAACAAACATGAACTGGCTTCTGAGTAACAGTGTTTGCTTGGGCCATATGCACAACTGGGGCATTCGCACAACTGGGCAATTTACACAACTGGGTCATTTGCACAACTGGGCCTTTTGCACAACTGGGCTCTTTGCACGGCTGTAGCTGGAGGTGCTTCTTTTCTGTCTTGGTAAGTGATCCTTTGCATTCTCTCAGAGTCAGGGGACACATACTAAGAAAGCTTGCAGCTCTGAGTCCCATGTCTCACACAAACCCTGGGCAGCTTGGTGGGCTACACCACATTCCCCAAATCCAGAAGTGACAGTGGGTTGCATGGATTAGCCTGACACCGAGGCACTTGCCCACTTCACCCTTCCCAGTGTCCTCGACACCTGTGAAGGGCTCTGCGGGGCGTTGCCTGAGATGAGAGATTTCAGCATCCGTCCCCAGAGATGGGATAGTAACAGCAAGGGGCTTAGTGATTTCCCGCTCCCTATTTGTTATTGAAGAATTTGGAAGCCAGCCTGGGTGACCTGGGATCCATAACCTCTAATAACATATCCCTCGTCTATGGAGTTTAAACACACAATGTTGATTTTACTTCATTTGACCTCCTTGAGGGTCATGGCGAGGGTCTGCTCTTGGAGACAACTGGCAGCTTGACTCAACTCCTCTGCATGGCCGTTACCTTTGCCTGGCTGGCTGGGGGTTACAAGAGATACTGTTCGCTTAGCCCACAGCTCTAGACACAGCTCTGTTTAAGGTACGGTGACAAATCCAGCCTGACTCCCAGGCAGATTCCGCAGATACTAAACGTGGGGTAACATTTACCAGCAGACTGCAGAGGATTTTTTCCCCGTTTCAGGGCTCAGGGGCCGTCATAGTGGTGGGCACAGAGGGCAGGTGAATTCTTGGAGGAGGAATGCTTGTTTCGTTGGCTTCTCTCCCCCTGTATTGCCATCTTTTCTCGGTTGTACAGACATCTGGCCGCACACTGGCTTTAAATGGCCTCAGACAGTAGAGAAGTCCCCATGTCCCCACTGTTGTGGTGCTTTCTTGGTCCTTGATGGTTAGCATGTAGGAGGGCTTGGTGGCATCTCCGTGCAGTCAGTCTTGTGACCACGGTGCAAATGCACACTGTCTTCCCTGATTTCTCTGATTGCTCTTTTTTTTTTTTTTAAAGATTTTTATTCACTTATTTGAGAGAGAGAAAAAGAGAAAGAGCAGGGGGAGGGGCAGAGGGAGAGAGAGAGAGAGAGGAAAATCTCAAGCAGACTCCCTTCTGAGCATGGAGTCCCATGCGGGGCTCAATCTCACCGCCCTGAGATCATGACCTGAGCCAAAACCAATCGGATGCTCAACCAACTGAGCCACCCAATTGCTTGGTTTTTATTACTCCTAGAAATAGTCTTGGTTGGGACTAGGCACACAGACAGGCACACATGGACACATTCATACACACACATTCACACACACACAAATGCAGAGACACACAGATAAATTCACAGACATACTCACACAGAGGTGCATGCATACGTATACACACACGCTCACACACCCAGATAGACAGAGACACACCACTCACACAAGTACATACAGACACACATAGACAACTCAGAAGTCCACACATTCACACACACACACACACACACACACACAGGAGCGAGGGTCTCCTGGCTATGTCATAGCCAATTAGCTCCTGGGCTGTTAAAATTCTGTAGCTGACCTAAGGCAAAGTACAGCCTGAATGAGTACCTTTAGATATACTTTAGAATAAACTATGGTATTGTTGTGAGAAACAGATTCAGAAAAACATGCCAGATTTCAAGAGCATTTGAATGATTAATTTGAGGGACTGAGTAGGTAGCAAATATTTGGCTAGAATTGCCTATCCTCAGACAGTGCAGTTGAAAGAAGAGCCTTTGACTGATGAGCTATTTATAACACTATTTTAAAAGGTTACCTTGTTGAAATGCAACATCTCATTAGGAGTTAAATCCTGGAACGGGCTGGGAAAAAAAAGTGGTACTTGAAAATAACATGTTGTCAGGGGAGCGAGGAAATGTTACAGTGTGACTGTCTCTCTGTGAAGTGAGCATACGACCACAAGGACTGGATCTTCTGTGGTGAGAAATCCTGTCGCTCTCCTGAGCCCAGAAGCCCTTACAGATGGCAGAGCAGAGAGATGTTTTCTTAAGGCTTTAAGGTAAAATATTACATGACAGAGCACAAGAAAACATGTTCCTCTAAAAAGCAAATTGATGGAATCTGTCATTTTAGAAAGCTAAGATTATCAAGGACTCTTCGTGTCTCGAGGAAAATAATGGAGAGGAAATGTCAGGCACTGTGGTTTTCCGGAACAGGCTTTAGCTCATATACATCAGAAGTCAGTTTTTAAGAAAGTCAATTTTTCACACATTTACAGAAATAATTCGCTTCAGATCTGCAATGAAGGCTTGAAACTACATGCGTTTCTGAAACTGCCAATCCAGGATACTGTCTGGGGTATCTTTTTTTTTTTTTAAATACCTAAATTAGATCTATGCAGAATGTGGGAATAGCAGATAACAGGCGATGTGGAGCTAATAAAGACAAAAACGGTAAAGGCACTTTCTCTGAGCCCGTGCCTCCCTCCAGACACAGTGAAGGGACAGTGCGGTGGGGCCATCCCCAAGGTCACAGGCAGCGGGTGTGCGAATCCGTTCAGAGACGATGTTAGGTGTTTTGGTCCACTATTTAAAGCTACAAAACCAACAGTTACAGATAGATACTATTCATTCCGAGATTCAAGGTGGGAGAAAGCAGACCAAAACTGAAAAAGAGCCCGCGGCCTCTGAGGGACCGTGGGAGCCCAGGGCAGGGAAGGAGCCAGTATAGTCGGGACCGTCCTGCAAGGGGACACTGGGGCTCGCGCGGAGGGAGGAAGGAGGTGCAGGGACCACGCAGTGGTTCTAGCTCTGGTGTCTGTGCATGAAGAGGCCCGCCTGGAACCTTCCCAGGGCCTCTCCTTCCAGGATCTGTCCGCTGCATGCCACCATGGGAGACGTTCCTTACAAGTCCGTGGTGTGTCGGGCGGAGGTTTTTCTGGAGAGCCAGCACTTGACAAGAATGCCATCTGACTCTGTAGCCAGAGAAGCCTATTTGAATCATTGAAAGGCTGGGTGAGGGAATTTGTGAGCACCTAATAATAGAATTTCAAAAATCCTTTTTTATTTATTTTAAGCACATTTCAGTAGCAGAGGCATTGTTCTTGAATAGCCCATGCACTATAAGGGTATTCTCAGTGTTTAGCAGGCAAGGAGCTTTAGTTGTCCACATGGAAATGTATTTAAGTGTTTTCAGCATTTGTCCTGAAATATATTTTTTATGTTGCCAATTTACACTGTATAGATGCAAAGATTTAGTGGGCAAGGACTGACTTTATCCCAGCCCTGCTCAGAGTTAATGAATAAAAATTCTGAAATTAATATCTAAAAACTCAGTCCCTTTGAATGTCTTAAAAAGTTCCCCTGCCTGAGTGTAGGTTCCAGTTAATAGCACTCATACCACTACTCTTCAGTTTGTAGACGGTTTTACAAAGAATACCAAATGCTAGAATCCATGCCCCTGAAAGTATTAAACTTGTTTTTATTTTCATTATAAAACATACTTGTTTGATTCTATTAGAATACCTGTGAAAACCATTTTGTAAAAATTTTAACGATAAGATCCTGATTGAGGAAGTCTCTCCTAATTTCCTAGAAACCATTAATTAAAATTTCAAAGTATCAACCTCTGTGTTACATGTTCATCCGAAAAAAATGTATTATTTAGACAACAAACGCTGTTGCCTTGCGATAGGTTATTTTTTTTCAAGTGAGCCAACACAACGGAATAAAATATATGATCTGTCGCGGCTGACTCACTTCCTGTTTCAATAACAAGAGTGTCATCCACTACATGCTAAGCAGCACGCTTTGTTACTGTGTGTGTGGCTTTATGTGGACACGCTGCCAGAAAGTTCTTAGGGAAAATACACTCATCATTCTAATACCAAAAAAGAAACTTTCGGTGAGCAGTTTTGGCTGCAGCCGTTGCCCTCTTTATTATTTACGCTATAACCAAGCCTCCCTAATGGGAGCGAGAATGCTTGCCTGGCAGCATGAAATGCCGCTGCAATTTCACCTGGCAAAGGGGCCATTTACTCCTGTCCTCAAAGTCCTAACCCAAAGGAGCAGTGGTTTCCCCCAAGGTTGAGAGTTGTGCTCCAGCTGGTCACCCGGCTTTGCTCTCAAGTGACCACCTGACCTCGGACCTCCATTTCCACATTTGTGAAATGATGGTGTCAAATAGCCTCATCTCCCTGGGCTTCCTGCAGTGACAAACTCTGCACTCTTTGCCCAGAATCACGAAATCGTGTTGGCATGTTTCTGTGCCATCTGTGCCCACGGCTCCCTGAACCGAGAAGCCGGCCCCCCAGGGGGGTCACGGGGCACATTTTAGGTGATTCACCTGCATGATTCACGGCCACACTGCCTTCAGGGCAAGGCGGCCGTGGCCCCGGGGTGCTAGCGTTTTTGCAAATCATTGCAGCTCAGCAGCTGAAGAGCTCCGGACTGCCCCTGGGCGGGTGGGCTGGAAGACGCGGTCCAGGGCTTGGAGGACATGGCAGGCGGGGGAGGAAGAGAATTGGTGTGTCTAGTCCGACCACTTCCGAAATAGCATCCTAGGCTGTTGGGGGCATTAACATGATTTGGGTCAGATCCACAGTGCACCGAGACACGTTCCAGGGCCTCGCAGGCTTCCCCGGCAGGCAGCCACCTCGCTGACTCATGAGGTGTGACATTGCCCTAAGAGCAAGAATGAAGTAAGGTCTTTTTGGAGGGGAGCAGGCCTTCCTGCGGTAGAAAGGGAACTTCAGACAAACAGCCAGTCATGGCTTTGCCCCCCCCCTCCTTTAAAATCTTGTTGCCTCTATGGCCGCATCTGGGTACCAACCATCTCTCTTTCAAAATCCCCGTCCAGAATTGCATGATGACCATGTTGCTTCTCAAATGTGTGTTAAAAATCCATCCAGAGCCTCATCTTAAGGCGTCATTAAGTTATAATAATTAACATCTTATTTACATTCAGTAGAACTCTACACAAGTGTCTAATGTGGGGGAAGGCATTCTCCAATTGCTAAGTCAACATTTGCCCTCAGTCACAAAGAAGGAATACAATGGGCATGATGCTGTTTTCCTGTCACCGACTGCGCAAGGTGGCCTTGGTGGGAGTGGGGTACGAAGGCCGCTGGGTGGGACGGACCTGCGCCATCAGCCTGGTGCACCTGCATGTTCCCTGTGTGCGTGGGATGAGGGCCAACACTCCTTATTGTGACTGGGCTGTCGCTTGGGCCTCAGTCACGTGAGCATGGTTTAAGAATACGCTGCCGTGCAAACTGCTGAAAATATGCTCACCCTCTTTCCTTCTGTTAAAGCCAGAAGTTCCTGGGGTGGGGGACACATATCGTCCTCAGGAGCTGGGCCCACAGTCTGTTGATGGGCCTTGGGCCATGGGTTCAGGTCCCAGTCAGACACAATCTGGGGATGTGGAAGTGGATTGGGCTAATCTCAGGGCTTCAATCCATTCCAGAGTGACCTGGTCTGGCTCGAGCATTTAGAAGTCATTTGGATCTCTGGGTTCCATGAAGAACCTAAGAAATACAAAGTCTACCCCTGAATTGCTTCTGCTTATCAAGAGCTTGTGGGCTGTATATTGACTAGGGCTGGTCACCTCTTGCTTCTGCTCAAATTAAAGCAACAGGCTGTGTATCTGTGGTCTCCCTCCATGCCCTGTCCTAGGGGCTCTCTCCAAGTATCCTTGGGTCATTGATCCTCCTGCAGCAAGGGGACAGGTGAGTCTCCACATCTGGCTCTCACTTCCAATGGTGTGGTCTCAGAATCCTCCAGCCTGAGTCCCATAACTGGCCATCTACGTTGAAAGCTTCTTGATCTGAAGACCATGTGTACTGAAGCTACACTTGGTAAAGGGCTGAAAACGCACCTCTTCTTTTTAGGCTCCTCTCTTGTGAGCTGCTCCCACCCCCACCCCCCTTTGCTTTGCTTTGCCACAATGTCCCCTCCTTTCTTCCACCTTCTTCTTTCCAGCCATCCCTGCTTTGCCTGATCTTCCTCCCCTGCCTGTCTATAGGCCCCTGTGTGGTATGATTTGTTTGACAATCTGAAATGTAGAGTTCTCCCTCTGCATGACTGTCTTCAGTTAGGGGTGGGCCAGGTAAGACTATTTCCCTGACCCCCAGCTCACTCGTCCAGCCGTGGTTTTCTAGAAGGAGCTTTCCAGCTGTGTGGCCTCGAGCTGGTCTCATCTGTAGCATGAGGACACGAAGATGGACTCTGCAGAGTCGTGGGGAGGGGAAATGCCCCGTCTGCTGCTTGACACAGAGCTGGTGCTTGGTGAACGTCACTGACCGTCCCTCCCGGATCTCTGGACTCCAACTCTTTGAAAGCTCTTCACAGACATGGCTCTGCCCCAGGTGCTATTGTTAGATGTTCTGATTTGTGGTTCTGCACTAGTGTGCTGGGCGGCCCGCTTGCTTCTGCACCCCAAGTCCCCCGCGCCCCTCGAGAGTGGCAAGCCAGAATAAAGGGCCCCGGCAAGTGATTAGCAGCCGTTCCTGCTGCTGTGGTTATAAACCCTGCGGCTATTTTAGGTCCGGTATTGTTCAGTCTGGGTTTCGTTTCCTTCACCAGCTATTTTGGCAACTGCCTGGCTCTGAAAGCACAGGCTCTGTCATGGCCAGGGGCTCGCTGAGGGCCTCTGTCTGGTTTTACGTAGTGAGATGTCAGGCACCCACAGAAGAAATAGAGGGTGGGAGAAGTTACACTGATTGTCTTTCATTCAGAACGGTTTTAAAAATGTCTTTTTAAACAAGAGAGAGACGTTAGAACATTTTACAAATATGCTTTCATACCTAAAGTTAGAAGAAATCAGATTTACACAGTGATATTATTGTGAAAAATTGGAGAAAGAAATGGTAAAGAACATTCTAGAATGTCTCTAGGTATACATTACAGTGTGTGTGTGTTTGTGTGTGTGTGTGTGTTCGGAGGGAATTCCTCATCTACTCATCTGTTTTCTGAATAGGATGGCTCCTGTAATCCCAGGAAAACCTCTTTCTTTACATCCCTCAGAGATGTCTGTCCATACACGGGTTCCTCAGAACATTAGCAATGATTATATAATAATTGAGGCGTGGGGAGTTTCGGCTGTGGGTGTTTCATACAATGTGACACCATGTAATAAAAATGGTAAGATTCACTTCAGGCCCATGAGGGTCAGAATACTTTGTACAGATCATTCCCTGTTGTTCCGACGGCCAGGGGAGCGGGCAGCCTTGTGAGGACGATGACAGGCTGCTAAGTGTGGAGATTCCATGTGGAATTTTCTATAATCCAGAGACAGTCCTGAGGCTGACGCATGTAAAAACCGGAGGGGTTTGCCTCCCTGTCAAAACCGGTCAGCTCCCCACGCATAGTTAGCTGAGCTTACAGCAAATGCACTCACAGGTGAGACAACTTTTGGCACCCAACCCTTAACTTTCAGTTCAGAGGACGGTGAGTTCCCGGTACTGGGGAGTAGAGGCTGATGTCATCGAAAAGATATGGCCCTGCTTTGAAATCAGCAAGTGCGTTCAAAGTTCTCCAGCGCGCACACACACACACACATCCTGGAAAATGTGTTTCCGAAGAGCCAGGAGCAGCCCTTTGATAAACAGATGTTCTCAAAACAACAAACAAACGAAAAAAAACAAGGACATGTATGTGGTTTCTGCTGAAGAATGCTCCAGAGTTTGTACACGGGCATTATAATCCTGTATTCACTTAGCACTTTCCCGGAAGATGTTGCTGGGAGTGAAAACCAAAATTAGCTCTAGGCCAAGAGTGAATAATTTCGACAGCCACTCTAAAATGGTTTGTATGTTTGGAGCTATATATGGGTGAAAGTAACAATTTCAACAGGAAGCAAAAAAAAAAAAAAAAAAAAAAAGGGGAAAACTTTTGTACACACCAGAAAAATACTTCAGCTTTAATTTGTGAAAGAGGTCAGATTCCCAAGACTTGCTGAGTGACACTCTAGGTAGTTTTAAAATTTGTTTTTATGAAATTTATTTGAAATGCTTCACCGACTTTCAGGGCCAGATCAGGAAACACTGCTTCCACTAATTATTATTTAACAGTTGGCTAGCATTTCTCTTCTGTATGTGTTCTCCTTTTCATAACGAAAAACCAGTGAACATTTAATTGAATTTTGATGATAATCTTAATAGCGCCATTCTACATTTACTCCTTCAAGCAATTTCATGTTTGCAAATTGCCTTTGCATTCCTTGTAGCTAGTTACATAACTTACTTTGCTCAAAGAGTAAAATTAAATTCTTACTAATATGACGTGTTTTGGCTTTTTCAGGGTAAACACACAAATATGTCAAGAAATGCCCAGAGAGTGAACTCATGAGGGCAGGGACTGACCTCCCTGTGCTGGTTATGAAGTGTCTCCCCATAGTCTTTCCAGTAGACCACATGCAGCCATTCTGACAGAGCTGGGGGTGGGCATCAAAATAAAGTCCTGCAATGTAGCATTTCCTGACATGCTGTCAAGTTGACTTTGTCACCTAAACTCTCATCAACTGGCATGCTTGGCAGCCCGGTGGGGAGCTGGTTAGAGTCCAGAAATATAAGCCCCCAGTGTTTCCCAGCTGGAGAGGCTAGAAAACGGTCCAGTGCACCGACTTCTCAGCAAATAGTAAGTAAAAGCTGGAGATCCCAAAAAGAATCTCAAAGGACATAGGTCCCAGCGGGTTCGTGGTTCTGCCGGGGAGCACCTTGGTTCGCTCGGGCCGGGCACATGGTGGCTGTGCCGATGATTATTAGGAGATATTTAAAAAATTCTTTTCCTTTAGATCACTGGCTTTGTGTCCATTTTATGCATAGATGTGCTTATGTGCTAGGTCACCACAGTAACGCTTGCCATGCCGGCAGTAATTCTCAGGGCACCTGAGGAGGACCGGAGAACGTTCGCATGGGGTTGTCAGGTGAGCAAGCCACCCCTCCCTGAAACCTGCTTTCCACGGACGGTACTTCCCGTCCCTCAAACATGCTGTGCTGTGACACATTCTGGTAAGTACACTTGTAGGCATTGATTTGAAGAAGTGCTTTTCCCCTAAATCTAAAAGCCAGAGGGGTAAGAACTAGCATTTCTTTCTTTTTTTTAAAAGTCCTAAAGACATGAGCTCTTTCCTTCCAGCAGGGGCCTGCGGTTGCTGCAGAACTCAAACACGGACCCGCCAGGACACCTTCTCCAGAGTTTCGTGGGGGCTCAGGAACCGGTTCTCCCCTCTGCCCAGTTGTACCCAGCACCACAGAAAGCCAACACGTTCGTTGTTTGGACGATGAGGGTGCTTCCGTAAGCGCTGACAGCCATTCACCATCCTTCCTGGATTAGAGCAAAACGCCCCTGAAAGACATCTGTCTCTGGCTGCCACCTTTTATAATTCGCAGACCACCGCCCCGGGAATCACAGTGGGTCTGTGTGTGCGTGGCTGAAGAGAATAAGAGGGGTTGAAGAGTCCTCACCTGACCTCTCTTCCAGGAGCCTGCTGTGACTGGCCCCCCGGGCCTGCTTCCCCACACCCAGCAATCTCCTTTCTGCACCGGCAGCTCTCTAAGGCAATGAAAGTAAAACGAGACTAGTAGTAATAGCAGGAGTTGTATCTGGCTCTTGAACGTAGCCACCCCATTCCCTCACACATGCTTACGTGCGCCATCTTTCCGCACTGGCTTCCACCCTCACTGGGTTGTTTCTCCGTACAAAGTGGGAAACGTTCAGGAGGGAGGCCGCAGGTTTTCCTAAATAGTCTACCTCAGGAGTAAGATCCTCAATCCTGACCAAGGTTTGGGTCTATGGCCCAACTTAATTAATAGGTTTTTGTGTTTTCTAGAGACAGATTAAAATTCACTTACCTTCCTAAAAATATCTGAGGTTCAGACAGTGTAAGTTAATACGCTTCAGTTGTTCAGGCGTCTGGGAAAAATATCTGTACTCTATTGAGTTAAATCAGAGAAAAATATGCTTTGATAGAGTCCCAAGTCAGAAATAAAAGATAAATGTTCATGTTTTTAGTAAGGTTCTGTGGTGGTTTCCAACATGTCCACAAGTTCTTCGATAATCCTTCTCTTTATTTATTTATTTATTTATTTATTTTTATTTATTTTTATTTTTTATTTTTTGATAATCCTTCTCTTGAGTGTGGGCTGGACTCAGTGCCTCCCCTCTAATGGAGAGAATGTGGCGAAGTGAGTTTGACTGCGTGGGTACCTGAGACCAGAAGGCACACGGTCTCCTCTGTGAGTGTTTCAGATCACTGGCCTGGGGGAGGCCGGCTGCACATGGTGAGGAGCCTCAGCCCCTGGGGGAGAGGATGGCGCCCAGAGCCGCGTGAGCAGATTCTCTTCAGTGTGGCTTCTCCTCGGTTAAGTCTTCAAAGGACAGCAGCCTCATCCAACATCCTACATACAAGCTCCCGAGAGACCCCAAGTCAGCCCACCCAGCTAAGCTGCTCTGGGGTTCCTGAAGTGAGGACTGTGAGATACTAAATAGTCACTGTCTCAGGCCACTAGGTTTGGGGGTGATTTCTTTCATGTCGGTGGATGTCTAAGATAGAAAGCGCCGCGGCCATTAAAATACAGAGCAGTGGAGAGAAATCCTAGGAATTTGCTATTTCATTTCTTTGAGTGGATTTTTGGGGGTGTTTTGGAAGGCTGTGCACATGAATTTATCTTATATAGACTTATTCTACCAGCACAATCCCCCCCCCCCCCCCCCCGCCGCCCCGGTAGTCTCACCATTTACCAGGAGGAGGGGCATATTTCTGGCCTAGGCAGTTTTCACAGACACCGTGTTTCTTGTATGGTCAATGATGGAGAGATAACTTATTCATATCTCTTCAGCCATAGGCACAGGCCAAAAAAAAAGGTATTATTGTTGCATCTGGAAGAATTCAGAGGAAGACAGAAGCCATCTATTTTAAATATAAATCATTCAAAATGTACCAAGTCAATAAGAAAGGGAAGTGTCAGATACATTCTCGGTTCATTCTTCTCATTGCTCCAAGCCACCCTTTGCTGATCCTGATCCAGTTTCTGATTCTGTGTTATTGAGATCCTTTGAGCAGATAGGAGCTCATGGCCAGAGAGATCCCATATTAGCAACACGGACAGGACAGACGTAGGGACATCTGGCCACAGCCTCCCGGCCAACAAGCCCACACCTACCACCCCTCTGAGTGTGAGGGGTGGAGCTGGGACTGATAGAGATTTGGGGTGGTGCAAGGAATTTCAGGGCCCAATTTTTTAAAAACAAGATGATAATACTTATTCAGTGTCGAAAAATTGGGAAATACAGATAAACAAAAGGAAGGTAGTACAAATTACCCATAATCACACAACCTAGAGGAAGGTGCCATTGGGCTGCTCAGCCTGGTCGCTGGTTGGGGGCTGGGGGGGCAGTGGAGGTTGGGCTGGGAGAGTACCTTTCTCTATGAACAGTGGGATGTGTAGCCTAGGGGAAGCTCTGAGCACCCTCAGAGTCTCAGTGCGTGTACAACCTGCTCCATTTTCACTCATCTGTGTTTATCCGTCTATTCACACAGCTGTGCGTGTGTTTAACTTATCGAGATAAATAATAGTCAGCTTTGTGTTTGGGAACCTGCTGTATATCCTTAAGAATATATTAGGTGCGTTATTCTGTATTAGTGAATATCTATTTGTCTCATTGTAACACCCACAGAATAAAATACTGTATAAACACAGAGTCAGTTTGCAGTTACTATCCCCGTAGTTAATAGTGCGAAGGCTAGGATTCAAAGTACTAGATCAGAAGTAGACACGTTTTTAGGACTTTCGATATGTTTCATCAAATTACATTCTCAAAAAATTATGATACCAAATTGCATTCCCACCGACCATGTTTCAGAGTGGACGTACAGCATAAATTTTGTGAATCTACTGGCATTTAATGATTAAACATGTGCTCCAAGTTTTAAACATTCGAAAAGAGCACACAACACAGTGGTCATGCAAGCCACACCTTCCCACGGTTAGAGAGAAACCCCCTTTGTCGGAATTCAAAGATGCTCCTATTTCATATGGTATTGTTCCTGCTTTATAAGTGAGGGAACCCAAGGCTTACAGAAATTAGGTAAACCTTCAAATCACAGGACTGGTAATGTTCAAAGCCAGAATTCAAGGCTAAGGGGGGTTGGATCCCCAGCCCAGGAGCTTAACTTACCCTGCGTTGTCTCTTGTCTCTAACATTTTCCTGCCCCCAGGACCCATGAGGTCCTACTGGCTGTTCCTGAGTATGAACCTGATCCACCTGCTCCTTCTGATGATTGTGGAAATCCAACCACTTAATTTGGTCCCATTAGCCAGATTCACGTGAGCACTCAAAACATGGCTCTATTCATTTTTCATGTGTGGTGCCTTAGAGGTTCCTGAATGCAAATGCTCAGCAGGGCTTCACAAGTTAAATCCATAGGCCATTTCTTGCTGTGATTTTTGGTATGGCATCTTAGACATACCAGAATGTGCTGTGACGAGCTCCTCGTGACTAAGTCTTCTCTCTCACTACAAGAGAGTCACGTGTAATTGAGGAATAGATGTGTCTCCTTTGTTTCCCTTTCCGGCTTTGCAAATATACAGATGTAAAAAAAGAGACTATTTTAAAAGCATCTACTTGAGTGCAGGGTTAGTCACGTGATGAAAAAGGCACATCTCTGTGAGTTTCATGAGCATCTGCCAGTGATCACGCCCAGAAGACTCAAATGACTTACTTGTTATTACACCTTCAAAAGGACGCAGCCCCCAGTCTGTAACCATTGGGATAAAAAGGGGAACCCAGTCCTGCAACGTATCACTGTGTCACTGATGTTACATGACGTGCACTTGTGGAATTAAAACCAGCGGTGTGTTCACACTTTCTGGGAATAGCACCTAATCTGTTATCTTTACTTTCTTCCTCCCCAATTCCCAAGTTCCTTTAAAAGAGACCCAGGGAGCTGGGTGTCACCAGGACCCCTCTCCTAGTGGCCCTGGAGTCATCTCCATAAAGAGAATGCACCTGCTGTACTCCCAGGTCTGGTTCTGTTCAGGATGTAGACTGTGCTGTCTCTTCTCTGGATCGAGTGACCTACACATCAGCAACTTCAAACAACCGTTTTATTTTCTCTTGTGATTTTGTGGGAGAGATTTGGGAATGGCTCAAGCACGCAGTTCTCCCTGGGGGTCCCTCATACAATTGCAGTCGGACACGTTGGCAAGCTGCTGTCCCCGGAAGGCTGACTGGGCTGGAGGTTCCAGATGGCCCAGTCCCTTGGGAGGTGTCTGGTGCTGCCTGTGGGCTGGGAGCCCCACCAGGGCTGCCAAAGGGAGCACCTACAGGTGGCCTCCCAGGCCTCCCAGAACAGCAGACTCTGGGCAGCTGGACGCCAGGCGTCCCAGGGCGCTAGCTTCCCAGGGCGAGCAGCGCCAGCAAACCACCTCAGAGCTGCTCAGCTTCTCTGACCTAACTGTAGAAGCCCTATGGGAGCACATCCATCATAAGCTGTTGGTCGAAGCCCTCACATATCCAGCCAGAGTCAAAGGGAAAGGACACAGACGTCACCCTCTTCACAAGGGGAGAGGATCAAAGAATTTGATCCTAAAAACAACCCCAATCAATACCCAATATTACTGTGTTAGGCACTTCCTAAATTCAAGAATATATTTTTTGAGTGACCAGACTGACATATTTATAAATCATTACACTTTGTGTTTTCTTTTTTTTTCCTTTTATATTTTTAACTTAAATTCAATTAGCCAACATATAGTACATCATATACTTTGTGTTTTCATTGGCCTGCTTAGACATAACAGAACACAGCACTGGTAGGAATTCTGCTCACAGAATCATCACACGTTGGACTCCTGATCTGACACGGCAGATTGGGGGTCAGCATTTGCTAATTGCAATTAAATTTTGTGTGGGATGTTTCTGACTGCAAATATAGATGGGTCCTCCCATAGATTAGCTCTGGAGAAAAATTTCATGATGACCTAGACTCATTTATCTATGGGGATGTAGGCATTGAAGTGGGAGAGGATTCCACGCCCAGCTCCTGTCCTGGGTTTTAAAGAAGGTTTGAAACAGAGGGCAGTTGATTGCTCTCTGTCCTTCTCTGACAGCAGAGAAGGAGAAAACGGGGGAGTCTTAGCTTCACCAGCACACTGTGCTTTACACTGAGCTTTCCTTTTGGGAACCAAATGCAAGTGCCTCTGTCTGAAGAATCCTGTTTTCCAGGAAGCCTATAAGAAAAATAACAAAGCTCAAGTAGGCCAAAGGGAAAATGCAGTTTGGGTGGACTTCTGACCAACAAGAAGGGTTCATTCATGTTTGCATTAAGCATGGTCCCACCCATAAGCCAAGCTGCCAACCCATAAGATTTCCAAGGTCTCTGAGGCCACTGTGGCATCACTTCCCTTCTAGAACCCTCTCCTTGCCCAGTGCAGGAACCAGTCCAAACTCCCCGAATGGAAACCAGAAGCTGAGCATGTAGGGGACTTCATTCTTTACCACCCCACCCCTTTGTCTGTGGTCTCGAGGTCTCTGGACATAAAAAAGGAACTGTTCCCCACAGAAATTAGGGGATCCAACTGTAAACATACCACTAGGTAACAGATTCCCCTGGCGGTAAAAGAATATGGATTAATGGAAATTTCAGTTGGTTAGGGAAAAGCTCCCTCGCCTACTAGGAAGCACCCTTGCTCATTGACACCAGAAGCACATCAATTCATAATCCAAAAAGCACCTGCACGGGAGCATTCCTGCAATATATCACACATCCTGTTTCGCAAGCTTGCTTCCGAACTTTGGCACAATTGCCACTGAAGTTCCTCTTCGGGCATATGTATGTTCAGGGTAAATATATTCTACAGCTCATTATTATCCCTTAAAAAACATTTACTTCCTATTCTGCAGCTCCATTTGTAGAAAGTAGAAGGGATTGCCCTGGGCTGGTTTTCTTGAGAAGGGCTAGTGAGTGAAAAGAAGGGTAGAGGGGTGCCTGGGTGGCTCAGTTTGTTGAGCAACTGCCTTCGGCTCAGGTCATGATCCTGGAGTCTCGGGATCGAGTCCCGCATCGGGCTCCCTGCTCGGCGGGGAGCCTGCTTCTCCCTCTGACCCTCCCCCCTCTCATGTGCTCTCTCTCTCATTCTTTCTCAAAAAAAAAAAAAAAAAAAAGAAGGGTAGAGAATGGTGTTCTATCAGGTCTAAAGTAGACACCACAGGTTCACTTCATATCCTACTCCTAAAGCTACTGCCCTAATGTTCATCTGGAAGGCCGCTGGGTCATTGCTATGACCTTTTTTTTTTTTTTGAAGTATAACTGACAGACAATGTTATAATAGTTTCAAGTGTACAACACGGTGATCCCACAATTCTCTATATTACTCAGTGCTCACCATGATAAACGTAGTCACCATGCAATGCTATTACAGTGTTATTCCTCATATTCCCTATGCGGTACTTTTCATCTCTGACTTATTTATTTTATAACTGGAAGTTTGTACCTCTTAATCCCCATCACCTGTCTCCCCCCTCCCTCCACCTCCCTCCCCTTTGGCAACCACCAGTTTATTCTCTGTATTTAAGAGTCTGCTTGTTCATTTGTTTTGTTTTTCAGTTTCTACATATAAATGAAATCATACGGTATTTGTTTTTCTCCGTCTGACTTATTTCACTTAGCATAATACCCTCTAGGTCCACCTGTGTTGTCACAAATGGCAAGAGAGACACATACATCAGTCGAAATAAACCCATGCTTATATGGTCAATTAATCTATGCCAAAGGAGGCAAGAATATACAATGGGGAAAAGACAGTCTCTTCAATAGATGGTGTCGAGAAAACCGGACAGCTACATGCAAAAGAATGAAACTGGACCACTTTCTTACACCATACACAAAAATAAACTCAAAATAGATTAAGGACCTACATGTGAGACCTGAAGCCACGAAACTCCTGACAGAAAACACAGGCAGTAATCTCTTGGACATCAGCCTTAGCAACATATTTATGAATATGTCTCCTCAGGCAAGGGAAACAAAAGCAAAAATAAACTATTGGGACTACATCAAAATAAAAAGCTTTTGCACAGCAGAGGAAACCATCAAAACAAAACAAGGCAACCCATTGAATGGGACAAGATATTTGCAAATGATACAGCCAATAAGGGGTTAATATCCAAAATATATAAGTAACTTATGCAACTCAACACCAAGAAAACAATTGATTAAAAAATGGGAAGAGGACCTACATAGACAATTTTCCAAAGAAAACATACAGATGGCCAACAGACACATGAAAAGATGCTCAACATCACTAATAATCAGAGAAATGCAAATCAAAACCACAATGAGACATCACCTCACACCTGTCAGAATGGCTAGTATCAAAAAGGCAAGAAATAACAGGTGTTGGCGAGGATGTGGAGAAAAAAGAACCCTCATGCACTGCTGGTGGGAATGCAGACTGGTGCAACCACTGTGGAGAACAGTATGGAGGTTCCTCAAAAAGTTAAAACTAGAATCACTACATAATCCAGTAATTCCTCTACTGGGTATCTACCCACAAAATACAAGAACACTAATTTGAAAAGCGATAGGCACCCCTGTGTTTATGCAGCATTTTTTACTGTCACCAGGACACAGAAGCAACCCAAGGTCCCATCAATAGATGAATGGGTAAAGATATGGTATATACACACAATGGAGTATCACTCAGCCATTAAAAGGAACAAAATTGTTACTCTTACTTCTTAATTGACTGGAATCTATCAAACTTGCAGCTTTGTTGACAAGTACTGAGAAACATTCTTAGCCACAGCTAATTGTGTTTGAAAAACTTGTTCATCTTCATCACCATGTATAAGGACCGTCTCTAGGTGGAGCTGACCCCAAGTCCCGTCAGTTATCCTCATCTGACGTAACCTTCTACACTTGGCTCTGGCCTAGCAAACTGCAGGGGGCAATGGGCTGGTGACCTGTGGTTCAAAGCATATGGGAGAAGTCATAAGCTGCTCGGGGTGACCTGGAGCTTCCAGGGCTGACGGGAGTGAGGCAGCGAGAAGGCTTTGTGACGTGAGTACGCGGACAGTTCCTGCCGCTGGAGTCACTGATCTTTGTGACTTTTCCACAGAATTCTCTGCAGGGCTGTGCTCCTTCTGGAGTTCCCAAGAAAGGCCCACTCGGATGCCCACTGCCTGGCTTCAGAGGTCATAGCTTCCATCAGCAACCTGAACCCGCAGCATTAGCGGGGTTGGAGGGAGGGGAGAGGGATGGAGGGCTGGAGAAGGTATAATACACCACAAGATGTCCCGTTCTACCGAATATTCCCTTGCCAGAGGAGAGCATCCAGCATAGCTCCAGACATGCCGTGGCATCATTTCTCAGCTAGGGAAATCATGTTGTCAGTGGGGCACGTGGGCTTGGTCTGGGGGTATTTGGTGGCAAAGAAAAGAAACTGCTCGAAGTACATCAAAATAAGCCAACAGACTAGCTAACAGGAGTTTCTGTTGGAAGACACAGAGCTGACAGGCAGGAAGAGCTGCTTGCCTCATGAGAGATTGGAGCTGGGGTTCCAGAAGTCGTGAGCTGCCCAGGGAGCGTCCCTCCCTCAGAGCCCACGGGGTTTACAGAATGCATCCTGTTCAGAAACCCAATGATTCCTGCCTCGAGATGTGCCTGCTTCTTTCCGTAGTTACTCGGAGCTTCAATAGACGAGCCTGCTTTTTCCCATAGAGGTGTGTGTGTATGAACTCATAGACGCACACACGTGAGCACACTGCATTTCTAAGTAAGAATTTGTTTGACCGTCTGCAAATGTGCATTTGATGATCTTGCTCTGACACTTAAACCATCAGCAGGTGGCTTTCCCTCTGTGACGTGGGAGCGAAAACCTTCTTCCTGGTTCACAAGCCTCCTTCCACCCAGGGCAAGGTGGTGCTGAATCCTATGATCATTAGCTCCTTCCTCTGATTTTGATACCATTCCATTCCATATACATGTATTTCTAAAAAGCATATGTTTTAATTTGTCAGTTTTCTTTGAACTTAATAAAAAAGAGTGCCAGGTTGTATATAATCAGAAACTTAACGTTTTTCGGCAGGTATTATATTGTTAAAATTTATATGGTGATTTCTGACGTCAAGTGTTATACATTTGTGTGAAGATGCTAGAAGATGACCCATTGATGGTTTCCCACAAGTTAAACTGGAAACTTTTTCCAGTGTCTAGTAGGTTAAATCATTTTTTTAAAAAATCATGAATGGAATTTGAATTTCGTTAAAGTTTTCAGTATCTGTTTGATGAAGCAGAACTATCTGGTGGGGAAATTACCCAGAATGTGCCATGTGAGTGAAGCAAAACCTACCAGGCGCTGAGCAAAAGAAAACAGACCCAAAAGAGACACACTGTGTGATTCCATTTCAAGAAGAGGGGTGTGCACCCGATGTTTATAGCAGCAATGTCCACAATAGCCAAACTGTGGAAAGAGCCAAGATGTCCATCGACAGATGAATGGATAAAGAAGATGTGGTATATATATACAATGGAATATTATGCAGCCATCAAAAGGAATGAGATCTTGCCATTTGCAACGACGTGGATGGAACTGGAGGGTATCATGTTGAGTGAAATAAGTCAAACAGAGAAAGACATGTATCATATGATCTCACTGATATGAGGAAGTCTTAATCGCAGGAAACAAACTGAGTGTTGTTGGAGTGGGGGGTGGGGTGGGAGGGATGGGGTGAATGGGTGATGGACACTGGGGAGGGTATGTGCTCTGCTAAGCGCTGTGAATTGTGCAAGACTGTTGAATCTCAGATCTGTACCTCTGAAACAAATAATGCATTATATGTTAAGAAAAAAAAAAAGAAGAAGAAGAAGGTAGTGGGAGGGGAAGAATGAAGCGGGGGAAATCGGAGGGGTAGACAAACCATGAGAGACGATAGACTCTGAAAAACAAACTGAGGGTTCTAGAGGGGAGGGGGGTGGGAGGATGGGTTAGCCTGGTGGTGGGTATTGAGGAGGGCACATTCTGCATGGAGCACTGTATGGGGATTAACATAAGAATAAAATTAAAAAAAAAAAAAAGAAGAAGAGGGGCGTGCAGATGTGTCCGCAGAGATGCTCTATGTGGTTGTGGGTGTGGTCACACAGGTATGCAGTAGTTAATAGTCAATACACTGAACCCCACAATGGGTGCACTTTAGTATATGCAAATCACAGGTCAGTAACACTGATTTAAAAACCAGTGCCTGTTTCTTGCGCTTATCCTGGTGATCGAATGAGATGCGGCTTACACGGTGGGGGGGCGGGGACGCAGTCCTTTTGGCCACAGGCTTTCATCTCTTCTGCTGCCTTGCTGTTCACACAACTACACTTAGGAAGTTGGCTTTAGAGGGAGGTGGGTGGAAAAAGCAGGGATCGCCCCCCTGACAGGCTGGGGTCTAACCCGGGCAGGCCGTGGGCAGCTGTGATGAGAAAGTCCTCGTCCTTCAGGAGCGCGGTCCCTGCCTCACATACTCCCAAGTTTGGAGCTTCGAATCTATCTCCTCAAATGCACATCTGCAAGACTCATTCTGACACCCTCCGGGTTGTGGGATGTCATCGGAAATTTGAGGTCAGGAAGGTAGGACCCCTGGGGTTAGAGCCTTCCAGGGCCCCCCCTACTATTTCTGTGTCCCCCACATGTGCAGGTGCATCTGGTGGGTTGTGCACATGCTTGTGAATGAATCAGTGACCGAGTGAGCACAAACTTCACCCCTTTGGAGCCTTTCTATTTCTCGGTCAGTAAAATGACATTACTTCTCTTCTCCAGTGCTAAGCATATAGGTTCCAGTAACTTTTTATCTCTGGAAAAATGATTTCCAGCATAGGGTATTTCAATTTTTTCCAGCTTCAGTTGGAAGTTATGGTTGACAAATAAAACTTGTGTATGTTTCAGGTACACGATGTGATGTTTTGATATATGTTGTGAAATGAACACCACAATCGTGCTAACACATCCACCGCCTCCTATAGTTACCATAGTTTGTGTGTGTGTGTATCGTGAGGACACCTGAGATCTACTCGCAAAGCAACTTTCAAGTGTACGAGATAGTATTATTAACTACCACACTGTACCTGAGATCCCCAGATCTTTCCCATTTCCACATATGAGTGAGATGATTCAGTCAGTATTTGTCTTTCTGTGTCTGGCTTATCTCACGAGGCATAATGTCTCCCAAGTCCGTCCACATTGTTGCAAATGGCAGGATTTCCTTCTTTTTAAGGTTGAAACAATATTCCATTGCCACTTCAATTCATATCATTCATAGATGTTGGCATTATGCGTTCCCATCTAAAATCACCGTCAGTCCTTAGGCCATGCCTACAAACTTCTCGTGGCAGAAAATTTTCTCTTTTAGAGAAAGACCAGCAATCGGATTACCAGAAGGAACTGGATTCCTGGCTAAGGAACTGATATTGTGCCCCGACCTCACCATGGACCAGAGTCTGGAGGGGTCTGATTTGGGCTTAGGCTCTCCGTAGATCCTGGGTCAACCCAGGAATTCTGCCTCATGAGCTGGCGTATTCTTCTAAATACCACTGTGGGGAATTTGTGAAATGGACATTTTATCCTATACATTCAATAAATAAGATGAAGATGTTTTTCTCATGACTAATCTTTGAACACTGCCCAACAACGCATTCAAATACTCTGAAGTACGGATGCTGACCTGCTGTTTTTGTAAGTCAGCTTCCTTTTTGAAGGCTCACAACGAAATGCACATGAATACACAGAGTCAGGAAGCACACATTCAGAGATGCATGAGTCATACAGCAAATGCGTTCAAACTCACGTGCAGATAAATCACCGCAGTGGTTTTTAGTTTAAAGCATATGACCTTGTAATATTTAGGAAGGTGGCGA